TCGCTCGGCATTACCGAATAAAAAAATGGACATGGCTCGACATGGCTTAACATGACTTAAACCTAGCATAACTTGGCTTCTTCATGAATTGAACACCATGACTCAGACTTAATATGATCATGTTAACATTAAAAGAAGGTAAGAAGAAGTTACCTCCTCAATCGCACGAAGAAAATAAACGAACTAGCTTGTGCGTGACCTCTTGGATCCTTGCTTGCGTGCGTGTAAGTGAAGAAATATCTTAATCTTTCTTAACTTTGGCTTAGTTTCTCTCACGGCATTCTTAGTATTTGCTTTAAGTATAAGGTAAAATTTACCAAACTCTTCACTTAAATAGATGGCCGAAAGGGAAGTGAAATCGGTGAAAATAAGAGGGAAAAATTATGGCCAATGATCTCACACCACTTGCCATTCATGGAATAGTCTTGGTGGCTTTCCTTGCTTAGTCATTGCTAGATGGTAAATGAAGACATAGCTTAGTCATCATCTTAAGCTTAATTGAATGCCACATAAACTAGCAAACAATGGTTGATTTACACGTGCACTTGCTCAAATATCTCACGGCAATTTGCACGAATTAATCTTCGTTAAGAATGATTGGAACATGATGAAGCTCAAAATAGGTCTTAGCATATGATGGAACATAAATTAACTTATAGTATATAAAACTTACTTAAAAATTATTCCGAGCATAGACGTGGATATTACGGAATTAAACACGTAATTTTCATTAATAACATAACGGGCTATTACAATCTGCCCTCCTCCTCGGAAATATAAAGCTGAACATACGTACATAGAACATAAGAAAATATATACATCGAAACTTGAAATCGAGAAAACGAGCGCGAATATCAGCCTCCTGCTCCCAAGTGGCACCGTGGCGATCCCATTGGATACGAACGAGGGGAACATCGCGTTTCCAGAGCTGACGAACCTGTCGGTCCAATACAGCTACCGGTTTCTCCTCGTAAGATAAATCTGGCTGAATATGAATATTGGTATGCTGAAGAAAATGATCTGGATCGCACACGTACTTGCGTAACATGGATACATGGAAAACATTATGGACGTTGGACAACTCGGGAGGTAAGGCTAATCGATAAGCAACTTCGCCCACTCGCTCGAGAACTTCGAACGGGCCAATGAAACGCGGATGTGACTTTTATCTCTTTCCGAATCGAACGATCCCTCAGAATGGTCGAACTTTAAGGAAGGCTCGCTCCCCAACCTCAAACTGAATATCTCGTTGATGCTGATCGGTTGATGATTTCTGCCGACTCTGAGCTGTCTTTAACCGTTGTCTGATCAACTCCACCTGTTCTGCGGTTTCCTCGATCATCTTCGGATCGAGTACTCGACGTTCACCGACATCGTCCCAATAAAGAGAGGAACGACATTTACGATCGTAAAGTGCCTCGTAAGGAGCCATGTGTATAGAAGCATGATAACTGTTGTTGTAAGCAAACTCGACCAATGGCAATAACGACTCCCACTTAGCACCCCTGTCAACAACCAAAGCTCGTAGCATGTCCTCCAATGTCTGAATGGTCCGCTCGGTTTGTCCGTCAGTCTCTGGATGGTAAGCCGAACTGAACTCTAGTCGCGTGCCCATCGCCTTGTGCAAACTCTCTTAGAATCTGCTGGTGAATCTGGGATCCCGGTCTGACACGATAGTAACAGGCACTTCGTGAAGTCGAATGATTCCACGGGTATAAATCTCGGCTAACTTGTCCAAAGACATATTCATGGATACTGGTAAGAAGTGAGCAACCTTATTCAATCTTTCCACCACAACCCAAATATCATAGTGATGTTCAGACGACCTTGGTAACCTTGTGACAAAATCCATTGTGACTTCCTCCCACTTCCACTTCGGAACCTCGAGTGGTTGCAAAAGGCCCAAGGGACTCTTGTGTTCTGCTTTGACTTGCTGACAGGTTAAACATTTTCTCACAAAGTCGGCTACGTCCTTCTTCATTCCTCTGCACCAGAACGACTCTTTCAAGTCGTGATACATCTTTGTGCTCCCTGGGTGGGCTAAATAAGGTGCGGTATGAGCTTTGGTCAATATCTCCTTCCGCAGAGCCTCGACTTTTGGTACAACAATTCTGCCTCGAAATTCCAAGGCTCCATCTATGCCTCAATGAAAACCCTCAAAGCCTCCGGCGCGAACTTTGGCATCAATAGCACGAAAAAAATCATCAGAAGTCTGCTCCCGCCGGATCCTTTCCCTCAACGTAGGCTGGACCTGCATAGAACTGACACTCCCCGTAATCGCTGTAGGAAGTGCATCAACAACCTGAATTTGCATCCAGGCGAACTCCTGGATAAGATGGTTCTGCTGAGTAACAACATAAGTCAAGTCGCCCTTCACCTTACGGCTTAGAGCATCAGCAACGACATTCGCCTTCCCCAGATGGTATTGAATGGTACAATCATAGTCCTTGACAAGCTCTAACCAACGACGTTGACGCATGTTGAGCTCCTTTTGAGTGAAAATATACTGTAAGCTCTTGTGATCAGTGAAAATTTTGCATAGACCGCCGTATAAATAATGTCGCCAAATCTTGAGGGCATGAACCACCGCTGCCAACTCCAAGTCGTGCGTAGGATAATTCTGTTCATGGGGCTTTAATTGGCGTGAAGCATAAGCAACGACCTGGCCATCCTGCATGAGTACGCATTCCAAACCCTGTCTCGAAGCATCACTAAAGATGGTGAAACTCCGAGAAGGATCGGAATAGTCAACACCGGTGCTGTGGTAAGCCTCTTCTTGAGCTCCTGGAAGCTGGATTCACATCGATCAGTCCACTTAAATTTCACCGATTTCCTCGTCAGCTGGGATAAAGGAAGGGCAATCTTGGAGAAACCCTCGATAAACCTGCGATAATAACCTGCCAAACTGAGGAAACTGCGAAGCTCGGATGGATTCTTCGGTGTTGACCAATTCTGAACAGCGGCTACCTTGGATGGATCAACCTCGATACCTGCCTGAGTGATAACATGGCCAAGAAAGGCTACTCGCTGGAGCCAGAATTCACATTTGGAGAATTTAGCATATAACTTTTCACGTCTAAGGGTTTCAAGAACAACCCTCAGATGCTCTTCATGCTCCTTCTGGCTCTTGGAGTAGATTAGAATATCATCAATGAAAACAATAACAAACTGATCGAGGTAAGGATGGAATATACGGTTCATCAGGTCCATAAATACTGCTGGAGCATTGCTGAAGCCAAATTGCATAACTACGAACTCATAATGACCATACCGGGTACGAAAAGCAGTCTTTGCAATTTCTGACTCTTTGATCTTCAGCTGATGGTAGCCTGATCGTAAATCAATCTTGGAAAATACACAAGATCCCCTCAGCTGGTCAAATAAGTCATCAATTCTGGGAAGCGGATATTTATTCTTGATAGTTAACCGGTTGAGATCCCGGTAATCGATACACATGCGCATAGAACCGTCCTTCTTCTTAATGAAAAGAACGGGTGCTCCCCATGGTAAAACACTCGGTCGAATTAAACCGAGTTTCAATAATTCCTGGATTTGAGTCTTAAGCTCTTGCAATTCTTTCGGCGCCATTCGATATGGTGCTTTGGATACTGGGCCGGCTTCTGGAATAAGATCAATAGAGAACTTTACCTGCCGGTTAGGTGGTCCTCCTGGAAGTTGGTCCGGAAACACATCCACAAACTCACGAACAATAGAAACGTCGTGAGGTGTCCGTGCTTTCGGTTCATCGCTGACAAGGCTTACAAGATAACCCTGGCAATTACCTCGTCGTAACATCTTTTTGGCTTTCGCCATGGAAATAACATGAGATAAAGAACGAGTATTGGTGCCAAAGAAAGTAATATGATCATCTCCCGGAAGATAAAGAGTAATCTCCCGGTCATGGCATCAAATATCTGCATGAAAATATGTTAGCCAATCCATACCGAAAATGAGGTCATAGTCCCTCATCTCGAGAACATAAGCGTCGATAGTCAATATATGGCCACCGATAGAAAGGCTGAGATCTGTAGCTTTAGCATCAGTCACTATCTTTCGTCCCGAGGCTAAACTCACCTCGAGAGGATCGACAGTGGTAATAGAATGTACTCGGATGGCATCAAGACATCGTCGTGATATAAAAGAGTGAGTTGCTCCAGTATCAAATGAGGCGAAAACAGGAACATTGTTTAGCATAATCATCCCAGACATAGTACCTGGGTGTTGTTCCGCGTCGGCCTGGTCTACTGCATAAACACGAGTCTGCTGTCTGCCCCTCTGCTGCTGCTGGGGTGGCCTCGGGGCCTGTTGTTTGGGCTGCTGCTGCTGCTGTGGCTGCTGCGGTGGTTGCTGTCGTGGATGCGGTCGCTCTGGGTAGTTGCTGACAAAATGTCCGGGCTGATGGCAGTAATAACAAATGTCTTGTCCGAAATGACATTCTCCTCGATGGGGTCGTCCACAGGTAGTGCATGGTGGAATCTGCTGTGGTTTGGCTGTACCTGGCTGTCTCGGACGGATCCTCCTATCAATCTGAAAGCCTTTCCCCTTCCTCTTCTTGTCCTTCAGTTGTTGGGCAGCAGCTGGTTGAATGGGTGGTGCTGAGGATGTCTGGGCAGGGGAAGATGGCTGAAGATGATCATGGTTGGCCTCCCTCCGGGTGCTAGCGTTAACTTCCTGGGCTATGGTGACGGTACGGGCATAGGTCTGGATGCCGTGACTTACAATGTTATGACGGACTGCTGGCAAAAGCCCGTCAGTGAAACGTCTCGATCTCTTTGCCTCTGTGCTCACCAGATCGGGAACAAAGGCTCCAAGTCGAGTGAATTCTCGCTCGTACTCGTCTATTGTACGAGTACCTTGTTTGAGTGCCAGAAATTGACGCTCCATTTCAGCTCGATAGTACGCGGGGTAATATTTTTCTCGAATCAACTCCTTGAATCTGTCCTACGTACAACCTTCTTTTTCACCAGGACGCATTCCCCAGTAAGCGTTCCATCAGAGACGTGTGTCACCTGTCAATTGGATCTGTGCGCATAAAACACGATAGCGGTCGGGACAGTCCATGACCTCGAAAATCATTTCAAGACCCTGAACCCATTCATCAACAATTCGAGGATCTCCCTGGCCGGAGAATTTTTCTGGATGGTAGTCGCGAAACTGGGCGACTACAGCGGCCTGGGGAACCTCTTGATGATCTGGCTCTCTACGTGGCGGCATCTGAATATTGGAAACGTTCAATATTATCAGACACAGGAAAAATACTTTAATTGATGAATAAGGCGCACAAATCTCTTGACGAGTTGCTAAACATGACCTCGGAAATACTGACATTGAATCATGGATATACTGAACCATAATGGTTGAACATGAATCGAGCATCCTAACTAAGTCATAACTGTGAATTCTTACCGAGCGTAGACATAGTCATTTGTTTATAATTTAAAACATAAATCAGCACTTACCTGTAGTCGGCGGGGCGTGAGCGTGACGTGTTCGGGCTTTACAAAAATTTATGACTCATAAAAGTTTTCAGAGACGCAAAAACATGCTATGATACCAACTGTAACACCCCGCTATGTCGTAAATATCAGAGTTAAATTTTTGAAAATCTTTTCTTAAAATATACTTATAAAGTTGCGAAATCATGATTCGGAGTGCTACCATAATCCGTCACTTTGCTTTGAAATCCGTTTATAGTTTTTAAGGAAAACGGTTTATCATAATATAAACAATTCGGCTGGTAATCGGACCAAAAGGCTAAGTTTGACAAACAGTGAAAGTCAGCGGAAATCGTAGCGTGGCAAAATATTTAACTCCACTACAGGAGATAGTAACAGCACTGCTATGCCAAATTCAAACTGTATAAACATAATCCTGAACCGCCCGTCAGCTCACACCTCCGGTCCGACTCCGTGACCTGAAAAACATAGATAAACATGGGGCGTGAGCACTAAATCCACTATGCTCCGTAGGAACTCATACTAAAGTAAACAGTGAAAATAATTGCAATATCATGATCCTGGTATATATATAAACTTAGCATGATACCGGTAACCATTGCCATCACCTGACTGTTGCCTCATAACTGTTACCTCATCTGCCAGCATGAAAATGCCGGACACCATGTACACACTCTAGTGGGAAGACTAGGCCACTAGAACCCAGAATGGACCGGTGACCATTCCAAGCGGATACATAGCATAACGTGATACATACCTCAAACATGGTGCTGTAATTATAATCAATGTAATATCAAGTCTAAGTCTCCACCTGAACCGTCGATATGAAACGGGAAGTGCTGATGATCTTGAACTGTTCAAACTGTAATATTATATAAACAAATACTAAGTACTATGCTCAGACTGATTAAAATAACTGATTAACATGTTAAGATGCTCGACTTGAACTTGACATGATACTTAGACTTAACCGGTATAACCAAAACCAGTTTAACATGGAACT